TATACCCACGATCCCCAAAATTTCTGAGTGATACAGTGATACAGTACAAAACATTGAAATACAGCATAAGAAAAAATATAGGGTAATGAACTGGAAGTGATTTAATAGTGGTCACGTGTCTGTATAGAAACTTTTTTTTCTCGGAATCTGTCAAACGCAATGAAATTTGTTCCGACAAACACCGCTGCACACGGGTGCAAAATGTTTCTTTAATTCGCTGTTCGGTTTTTGAGTTTTGGCGATTTCTTCGACCCCACCCTCCCGGCTTGAAGGCAATTCCGGTGCCCGTCTGCTTTGCGGAATGCCAAGTCGGTGCATAGTTTGAGTAGTCGCTAGAGTTGAATAGAATGATTTACATTGAATAAAATTGCATTCACCTATGCGAAACTTGATATTCTATGTAAAAAAAAAAATTTCTTGTTATTATTATTTCTTATTTTAAGACTGGGTTATATTGACGTAACTTTGTAAATGACTAATGTCAATTAAGTTAAAAAAACCTGACATGTAAATAGATTATTTGCTAGATAACATTCACTCACACTCACTCAATCACTCTCACACTCTCACTCTCTCTATCTCTCTCTATCTATCTATCTATCTAGCTATCTATCTATCTCTCTCTTTATTTAACATTGACAAGTCGAGGATGCAAATTAACAGTGGCAGAACAAATAGTAATGATGTTGTCAGCATGGGGAAACATATTCATTGACATGATGGTGCTGAGGACTTTGACATGTTTGATTCGCTCAATCGCACGTCCAACGTGGATACAGACGCCAGCAAGCTTTCTCGTTTTTTTGACGTCTCTCTGACTCGACTGTTTCTGCATGGCCGCGAGTAAATGCTGGTATTAAAAGGGATACATTTCTTGCTGCTGAATCCTCACTCATAAGAAACCCCCTCGTTAGCTAACACTAAGTCACGATACTCAAGAAGATCCGAAAATCATGATCTCTGTGTGATTACATTGTCGGATGTTCGACCACCCAATACACGTGACATAAAAATCACCGACCCAGTTGGGGATATACCCACAAGGTGTAATTGTAGTTTGTGCTTGTAATTTGACCATGTCAAGGCACGACCAGTCAGGTTGCCAGTGCGCTCAATAAACACCTCGGCACAATCAATGATAACTCTAGCATCTGAATAACGTGACCCCCTAAACAATTTTGGTAATGTACACTTAACATCTTGCTTGTCAGGCGAATGGATCAAAAACGCGCGATCACAGACGCGATGACGAGGTCGGTTTCCATCCTTCGCGACTGACTTTACTCACCCAAATTTTTCTCCTTTTGGGATCTGCAATGAACCTATACGTTTTGTATCCCTGCTCTGATCTATTACAGCACCCAAAGGCGCAGCAACTAGTCCTAATGACAATTTATTTTACATACTAATAGCAGAAAAGTACGGAATACGCTCACGGAAAATGAAAAGCTGCTGCTTAGGTGGAACCAAAATGGCTCCTTAGTGCTTGCGTCACGTGCAGCGTTCGAAATTGGTGCCGACCCGGAGGCCCGAGGCCACCAAGTTTTTGCTCGGGCCACCGTTTCTACGAAACTGCCGGTCCTCCTGACCGGCACTTTTCCCTCTCATTTTATGCTGAAATACTGCGGTTATCGCAACGGCGTTTAGGCAGACTTGTAAACGGGAGCGTATTCTAATGCGGTCGTTTCTGACGGGGTATCCAAAAAGTATCCAAGTAGTCCTCAACTCATGATTCGCCATACGAACAAAAACTCGTGACCGTCTAAGAAATCGATTGCGGCCTACCGCATGTAGCGTAGCCCAGTGTTTTTATGTGTAACGCATAATAATAAGTTCCTATGTCACAGAGGTTATCGTGACTGAATTTGTTACTTTTCTTTACGTAGAAAGTGGACTATTTTTATTCGGTTCTAGAAGCAACGTCAACTGTATATATATACTTAAAGATTCTAGGCAGTTTTAACTTTGAGGATGTGCGGCAGCATTGATCTACGCATGGGAGTACCGAGGACTGGGGAGGAGAAAAACGAAAGTAAAACCTTTCCCAGAAGCTCCCCCGACATTCCTAGTGCTTGAAATATATTATTTGACCAACTCTACGTGGTAAGTCAAGTTAGTTTTTTTTGTATATATTTTTTCTTCATGCTGTATATCAATGTTTTGTACTGTATCACTGTATCACTCTGAAATTTTGGGGATCGTGGGTATATTTGCTATAGTTTATAGTATGTACAATGTTATGTTGGACCACAATGGAAATAGGTGTGTTAGCCACGCTTTTTGTGTTTTCATCCTCGATAATTTTCTAGCTGCATTTTGTTTTATTTATGCTGTTTTCGATGTAATGTATGCTTTGTTAATTATCGAAATAAATAAATCAAAATCAAAAAAATATGTCACGTGTATTGTGTTATTCGGCCACCCAAGTGCTACACCAATAAAGTATAATATAATAATAATGTATATGCTGTTAATGGTTATTTTTATATATCATTTTATTACTCACTGGTAGTAAATAAGCGGAACACCAACTTTTGTGCATTACCACCAACTTTCTGAAGTTGGTTGTCCCGCTGTCCACTAGATTTTCAGCCGAAATTCGAACCCTGGTCACGTGACCTAATTTTCGCGGTGTCCCGTAGAGTTTGGACGCTCGCCCAAAACTGGATGCTCTTGTTTTTCTCTTGTTTACTTTTTGTTTGACTCTTGTTTTGCAGGGCAATAGGATATAGTAGCCATGCTCTTTTGTTTTCTTTTTGTTTCGCCTTGTAACCTGACACACATAACACAGTCTTACTAACTTATTACATTGCAAATTGTTTCAATCAAATGTTTCCATGAGTGACGGGTGTTGCTATCCCCCGGGCGTGGAGGGAGGGTCACGTGATACAGTTGACGTATATTTCAAAATCATTACTCATCCGGTAACGCTAACTCCAACACCTCTAATGCTAACCCTAACACTAAACATATAGATCTCGGAGCGCTATATATAGGTTCTGTGATCCACAAAAATTAATCTATGGTGTGGGGACAGATATCATGATGCAAAAACCCTAATCCTAACCCTAACCCTAACCCGATCCCTAACCCTAACCCTAACCCTGACTCTAACCCTAATCCTAACACTAGTGCTGCCACGTTGCGGTAACCTCCCTCCACGCCCGGGGGATAGCATTACCCAATCCTAACCCTATCCTAACACTAGTGCTGCCACGTTGCGGTAACCTCCCTCCACGCCCGGGGGATAGCATTACCCATGAGTGACCGGGTTGGCCGCCATGATTGTTTATTGCAACAGTTTTCGATGGACGTGATGCGCAGATGACTACTGTGCATGCGACCTTGCAAAACAAGAGGTGCCTGCCTGCATGCACACTTACGAGCGTCCAGTTTCGGGCGAGCGTCTAAACTCTACGGTACAGCGGGACGCTCATGTTACAACTCTCTATATTAAGGGACTCTAAGAAGACCTATCGGCACTAGTCCTAAGATTACAACAAACGTTTGTTTGCCAAATAGTTCGGAAATTGCATGTTTTGGTGAATACGAAGGTTCTAAGACATTTTATCGTTACTCTAGACAATTGCTGTTACTCTAGCAATAACGGTAAGTGTCGTAAAAGTGGGGAAAACACTGGAGAATTCTCGTAATTAGTACTTTAAATTAAAAAAAAGCAAAAACAATTGCTTATAGATACCTCTTGCTTATATATAATCTCTCACCTCCTGTAGATATTTAAATCAACAAATCACTATAGTGATTGACTTTAGAAATGTGTGGGTGTAATGTCGCCGTTGCCATGGTGATTTGGTCACATGACTCCATCGAGTTCACGTGTATCTATACTCTAAAAAACCTGCGACGCACTAACATTTTGAAAAATTCACTCTTCGTTGTGTAGTCCTGTTCTATTAAGTATAACTCGTGATTTTTAGTGCCATGCCTGCAGCAAACGAATCTGACTTCATCTCTTTGTGAGGCAGGAGAAGTTATCCGGGGTCTCTATTTTTTGTCCGCAGGAAAGCGGACGACAGAGAGAGGAACTTGCATCGGGGAGTAAAGTGAGAGAGGAACCTGCATGAGGGAGGAAAGTGAGAGAGGAACCTGCATCAGGAAGGAAAGTGAGAGAGGAAACTGCATCGGGGAGTAAAGTGAGAGGAACCTGCACCGGGGAGGAAAGTGAGAGAGGAACCTGCATCGGGGGGAAATCAAGATCTCGATCACCGCCTGCTCGATGGAACCTTCTCTCCTTCCTTCTGCTTCTTTCTCTCCTCCTCTTTCTCTTCCTCCTGCTCCTCTTCCTCGTCGTCCTTCTCCTGTTCATTCTTCTCCTGCTTCTTCTCTTCCTCCTGGTCCTTCTCTTTCTCCGCCTCCTTCTCCTCCTCCTGCTCCTCTTTCTCGTCCTCCTTCTCCTGCTCCTCCTCCTGCTCCTCCTCGCTCAGACGTGCAGAGCGAAGTGGGGGAGAAACCGTACGCGTGTGACGTGTGCGAGTACAGTACGTGCTCCCGCTACAAGCTGAAGACTCACATGCAAACGCACACGGGAGAGAAACCGTACGTGTGTGAGACATGCGGGTATCGGAGCGCTCAGCTCAGTGGCTTACAGGCGCACGCGCGCACGCACACGGGAGAGAAACCGTACGCGTGCGATGTATGCGAGTACAGGAGTTCTCAGCTGGCGAGTCTCCAGATCCACGTGCGCACGCACACGGGAGAGAAACCGTACGCTTACCATGTATGCGAGTACAGGAGTTCTCAGATGGCGAGTTTCCAGATCCAGAAACCATACGCGTGCGACATATGCGGTTACACCTGCACCACCTCCAGCGACCTCAAAAAGCACTTTCTCACGCACAGGGGAGAGAAACCGTACTCGTGCGATATATGCGGCTCCGCCTACACCTGCTCCAGCAACCTGAAGACGCACTTTCTCACGCACACGGGCGAGAAACCTTATGCGTGTGATGCGTGCGAATATAGAACTTACTCTCGCGACAGCCTGAAAAAGCACATGCGAACGCACACGCGAGAGAAACCGTACTCGTGCGACATATGCGGCTCCGCCTACGCCACCTCCAGGAACCTCAAGATGCACTTTCTCACGCACACGGGCGAGAAACCTTACGCGTGTGATGCGTGCGAGTACAGGACTTGCTACCACAGCAGCCTGAAAAAGCACATGCGAACGCACACGGGAGAGAAACCGTACGCGTGTGAGACATGTGGGCATCGGAGCTCTCAGCTCAGTGGCTTACAGGCGCACGCACGCACGCACACGGGAGAGAAACCGTACGCGTGCGATGTATGCGAGTACAGGAGTTCTCAACTGGCGAGTCTCCAGATCCACGTGCGCACGCACACCGGAGAGAAACCGTACGCATGCGACATATGCGGCTCCGCCTACACCTGCTCCAGCAGCCTCAAGACGCACCTTCTCACGCACACGGGCGAGAAACCTTACGCGTGTGACGCGTGCGAGTACACGACTTGCTCTCGCGACAGCCTGAAAAAGCACATGCGAACGCACACGGGAGAGAAACCGTATGCGTGCGATGTATGCGAGTACAGGAGTTCTCAGCTGGCTAGTCTCCAGAGACACGCGCTCACGCACACGGGAGAGAAACCGTACACGTGCGACATATGCGGCTCTGCCTACACCACCTCCAGCAGCCTCAAGAAGCACTTTCTCACGCACACGGGAGAGAAACCTTACGCGTGCGATGTATGCGAGTACAGGACTTGCTCTCGCGACAGCCTGAAAAGGCACGCGCGCACGCACACGGGAGAGAAACCGTACGCGTGCGATGTATGTGAGTACAGGTGTTCGCGGCCGGCGAGTCTCCAGAGCCACGCGCGCACGCACACGGGAGAGAAACCGTACGCGTGCGATGTATGTGAGTACAGGTGTTCGCAGCTGGGGAATCTCCAGAGCCACGCGCGCACGCACTCGCACCAAAGAAAGGCCATGTACAAGCAATCGGGAGTGATGTGATGGACGGTTCTGCGGGTTAAACAGCTAATTCGTCAGACGTTAAACGTGTGGATACGGATGCACTCTCTCCAGTAGACTCCAGTGACGTACACTCAGGCTTGTATAAGAGAAGAAATGCTGAAAGGAGATGTGCATGCAATCAGGGATGATGTAAATGACTTTCTACCGATTAAACAGTTAATAAGGCAGTTCGTAGTTACGCACTGGAGCCCTATGACGTCATCGGGTCATAGGTCATTTGTACATAGCTGAAACGTTGGATCGCGCGTTCGCTCGTATGCACTTGTCGTATACTACATAATATGCATGAATGTTATACAGAAGCTATGTAAAATCGTGCATGCATTTGTTTTCTGTACTGAACCGATCGACTATCTGCCTGTGCATTTTGTTTTGTTTTGGATTTTTACGTGTGTGTATGATATTCATTGTGGGGTATTTTAGGTAGATATGCAGTGTCGGTTCTTCTTGGTCAGTCAGTTAACAGCAGTCAGTTCAGTCAGTCTCGGTCATATCATTTATTTATGGATGTCTTTTTGCTCCCTGGATTTCTTAATTCTAATACTACAGAAATGCACACTCAGACATACATGTAATTAACTTGCAAAGCATAAATATTGATTCATGTTTAATGCACATCTAACTACATGTATATGAACAAGGAGGAATCTTAACCTCTAAATACATTGTACAAGCAATTAAAGCAATGAAAATAGGGAAATTGTGTACGTGTATACTTGTATGAAACCTGCAAATGTGATAATTTATAATGTAGCAAGTTTAAAAAATAGCAATGAAATAAATGCGTTTCTATTTTAGACACAGCAGGGAATAAACATGTATAATAATTTCTTATATTTCTTATTATTAATATCTATGAAAACCTTTAATTTAAGTACCATTTGATATTAATAATAAAAAATATGCGTGACTCCTGTTTCATGTGTAAATGGTATTTTAGCTGGCATAGTATGGACATATATTGTAATCAAAATACTAATAACTGAAATAGTATGCATTCAAACAATGTTATGTTTATTAATGAATGCTATTTAATTAGTGAATGTTCGTTGCTTTATTAATATATAATTAGAATGAGATGTCAACTGCATATGTGTATGGAATGATGCAATTGAGAAATGGTCCTGGGAACATCAGATGTTCCATGATGACCGATTACGAACTTTGGGGTGGGTGAAGTATATTAGGACCTTTCAATAAATGAGACTGGTACTCGAAAGGTTGTTCACACATGCATCTTTGCGTTTGATTGCATAATTATGACTTGAATCTAGGAAATCGTACTATACGGCGTCCTGCTAATAGATGGTCCTTGATATCCGCTACGCATGCGCCGATCGGAACCGGAACCAGAGGAGATTGTAAGCCGCCTGCGTTTCAATGTGCAAATACTGTTTAGTTATTGTCATTTTCACGCTGATTTCTCTGTAAAGTTGAATTCGAACAAATGGGAACTTGTCTTATTATAACTAAAACACTTGATTGCAGTTCATTGCGGAGATCGTTCGTGCTGAGGAGGACTACGGGCGAGGTGCAAGACACAGACGTCGCAGGATACTGTACACCAATCGAATACCCCAGAACACTAGTACACACGTGCTGTTCACCAAAGGGCTTAGACATTTGCTACAGAATAACTGTCCAAATGGCGCCTGTGAATGCGGAGTGCCCGATTGAGGGTTGTGACTATGTGGCTACGCACGCAGAGGCGGCAGTGGTGGCGGCCATGCTGAGTATACACGCCACTGTGCACGTCATAGTCCCCGGGGCGCCGGGCGCGAATGCCAAGATGGAGAAACTTAAGCGTCCCTCCATAGCACTGGCTGGAACAGGCGAGGCCTGGTCGTACTTCATAACCCGCTGGAGCGAGTACAAGATGGGTACTAAACTTGTCAGACCCGACATAGTCGCACAGCTACTGGAGTGCTGCGAGGAGGAGCTGAGGAAAGATCTCACTCGCGCGGCGGGCAAGAGCCTAGCGGGCAGTGACGAAAAAGACGTCCTCGCCGCCATGAAGGCGCTCGCCGTTCGAGCGGAGAACACCATGGTAGCTCGGGTGGCTCTGTCTAACATGCGGCAGGGACACGAGGAGCCCATCCGGTCGTTCCACGCCCGCATCAAGGGGCAGGCGGACACATGCAAGTATGAGATGAAGTGCACCAAGGCGGAGTGCGATGAAGTCAACGACTTCACGGAAGAGATACTACGCAATGTGATTGCCCGCGGTATCACGGACCAAGAAATACAACTTGACCTGCTCGGTGAGAAGAATTAGGACATGCCATTAAAGGACATGATAGAGTACATCGAGGCCAAGGAGTCTGCGAAGCACTCGGCATCGCGCCTACTCGACCCTCAGAGCACAGATGCGATCAGTAGTTCGTATCGGCGGAGGAAACAGCAGGACATCCGCACTAGGAGAGGAGCCAGGCCGGAGAAACCGAAGGCCAAGCCTGAAGGGGTATGCATCTATTGTGGCGAGGTGGGCCACGGCAAGACGCCAGACTGGCGTGCCAGATGCACTGAGTGCCCGGGGTATGGTAAGAAGTGCCGGAAGTGTGGCCGCCAGAATCACCTTGACAAGGCGTGCCTGGGCGGCCGACCGACTAGACCCCCATCTGAGGAGACCGGCGGGATGTGCGACGAGCAGACGGCAGCCTTCGTCGAGCTATGCACGGTCACCATGGCCAGCGCGGACGACGAGTTGCGCACACTTCCGCTCTCTCACCACCTGTACGATGATATGTGCGATAAGTGGATGAAACGTGCGTCCGACCCTCAGCCGTACGTCAACCTCACTCTCACCAACAAGCGCAAAGATTACAAAGCGCTGGGTTTTAACCTCCTGAAACGCACCCGCGCAGTCACTCTGCCCGCTATGGCCGACACAGGGTGCCAGAGCTGCCTGATCGGCATTAGAGTCGCCCAACAAATGGGCCTGAGTACCGAGCACCTCATACCTGTGTCAATGACCATGAAGGCTGCGAATAACGAGGGAATTCGTATTCTCGGAGCCGTGGTGGTCAGATTCGCCGGTAACAGTGACAACGCTCGGAGATTGGAGACGCGCCAAATCGCGTACGTGACGGACACTTTGGACCGCATATTCCGGATGATACTCCATTAGGAGTGTTCCCAACTTTAATGTCATTAATGGTCATAATAAAATATATATATATATAGATATATATGGTCATGGTCATATAATAGTTTGTGGTTTAATGTCATTTATGTTAGGGTTAGGGTTAGGATTATCAATAATGAATCATTAATGATATCAAAGTTGGGAACACTTCTAATGGAGCGTTAGCCCATATTCCTCTCCCGCGCAGCCTGCGTAGACCTGGGTATGATCTCGAACAAGTTCACAACACTCGGGGAGGTGAACCTGACGACCTCGGAATTGTGTGACTGCCCGCGACGTGCGGAGCCGCCAACCAAGCCGACCACACTCCCCATGCTGGCAACCGAGGCTAACAGGGAAGCACTACACACACACTTACTCAGGATGTACGCTCAGAGCACATTCAATACGTGCCCACACCAGCCCCTACCAAGAATGACCGGCCTGCCGATACGTCTTATGCTTGATGAGGATGCGACACCGGTTGCCTGTCACACTCCCATCCCCGTGGCCATACACTGGCGAGACGAGGTAAAAGCAGGCCTCGACCAGGACGTTCGTCTCGGCGTGTTGGAGGAAGTACCCGTCGGTACGCCGGTGACATGGTGTCACTGCATGGTAGTCTGCGCAAAAAAGAACAGCAAGCCACGACGCACTGTCGACTTTCAGGCCTTGAACAAGCATGCGTTCCACGAGACCCGCCACACCCAATCCCCGTTCTACCAGGCGAGACGCGTACCTAACGGGAAGCGCAAGACAGTGTTTGACGCGTGGAATGGTTACCACAGCGTCCCACTACATGAGCACGACCGCCACAAGACGACGTTCATCACTCCATGGGGGCGCTACCGGTACCTATCGGCCCCACAAGGGTACATGGCATCGGGGGACGGCTACTCCCGACGATACGACGAGATTGTTGCGGACATTGGTGACAAGACTAAGTGCGTGGACGACACGCTACTATGGTCAGATACGATCGAGGGTAGCTACTTCCAGGCGGTCCAATGGCTGGAAAAATGCGGCCGGAATGGAATCATCTTCAACCCGGCGAAGTTCATTTTCAGCGCACCCACGGTGGAATTCGCGGGCTTCACGATCACCAGGACCGACGTGCGACCGTGCAGCCGCTACCTGGAGGCGATCCACGATTTCCCCCAACCGCGTGACGTCAGATCGTGGTTTGGGCTGGTCAACCAAGTGGCCTACGCCTTTAGTATGGCCGAACGAATGCAGCCATTCCGGAAGCTCCTGAAAAGTGGAGAACGCTTCGAGTGGTCCCCGGAGTTAGAGGACATATTCCGCGAGTCGAAGGACGTGATCGTTCAAGAAATCGAGCGCGGTGTCCGCATCTTTGACAAGACCAAGCCAACATGCATCGCCACGGACTGGTCAAAGGAGGGCATTGGGTTCTGGTTGTTTCAAAAGCACTGCCGATGCACGCCAGTCAGACCGTTCTGCTGCACCGATGGATGGAAGATAACCCTGGTCGGCAGCAGATTCACGAACGCGGCGGAATCCAGATACGCGCCCATAGAAGGCGAGGCTCTTGCAGTTGCGGACGCCTTGGACAAGGCGTGCTACTTCGTGCTGGGTTGCGAGAACTTGATCATAGCGGTAGACCACAAGTCGCTCCTGAAACTCCTTGCGGACAGAGCACTTGACGACATACCCAACCCCCGCCTCAGGAACCTCAAGGAGAAGACCCTGAGTTATCGCTTCCGCATCATACATATCCCGGGGTTGAAGAACAAGGTGGCAGATGCCATGTCACGTCGGCCGGTCGGCACCACGCGACCATCACTCATGAACCTTCCGGACGACGATGCCGCCATAGGGACCCACCTCCCACCCAGTACGCACACCAACGTCCTATCTCTCCTACGCCAAGCCGAGCTGGAGGACAACGATGACGTCGAGGAGGACAACCTGGCATGGTGCGCCGCAGGCCTCGAAGCATTGCGATCAGTGACATGGGACCGCGTGCACAAGGAGGCCACCAGCAGTGACGGCGATATGCACATGTTGGAGGAAATGGCAGTGGACGGCATCTCCGACTCGAAGATCGAGATGCCGGATATGATTCGCGACTTTCACCAGTACTGCGAGAACATTAC